CTAGTTGCTGTATGTGGGACGCGGCCTCAGCATGGCCAGAGAAGCGGTGCGTCGGTGCGCGCCCGGGATCTGAACCCGGGCCGCCAGCAGCGGAGTGCACGCACTTAACTGCTAAGCCACGGGGCCGGCCCCAATAAATAGTTTCTAACTCATGGATTTTTATGACTAAAGGAGAAAAATCTAAGGAAAGTATCACACAACAGGTACTCAATAAATGAGATCTATTATCAGACAGCTAATATCGTTTCAATCATTTATATATACAACGTACAATTACTTACTTATCAATATTACCTGCCATAACCAGAAGGTAACTGTACTGAGAAGTATAACGAAAACAAAACAATGTTATTAAATTAAAACAGTGGACTCAAGTCTAGGGCCAGCATCCCTCCGTCAGGGAGGCATGACCGTTAGGCGGCACTAAAGAATACCAGCTTCCACTCAAAGAAAGACTATCTCTTTGGAGGAATGAGGATTGAAGATCTAGCAAAGAAATAATTTTAATTCCTGAATAATGTGGTTTAGTGTTCTGTCGGTGACTATGCTACCTAAAATAATTGAGAATCACCAAAAGCATCTCTTTAGTTCCATAGTTCCATGTGTGTTGAATACTGTACATGCTGACAAATACTAAAAAGGAAGGCTTGCTACTCATGTGCCATCCACATTCATATGGAATGTGAGCCCAGTGTTGCCAGAATCTGTTTAAATATAGCTAACAAATGGAAATTTCACGTACAATACAGACCAAACACATATATTTCTACCTGGCCTGTGGGCTGTCCATTGGCAGCCTCTTGTTCTGAGTAACTCTTCTTGTGGCCTAGACTCTTCAAAAACATCAATGTTATGAAATACAGAATAAGGTGCCAGGGGGAACATTCTAGGCTAGAGGGTACTAAAATGACACCATGACAACCAAAAGCAACATTGGTTCAGGATTAAAAAACAAAATAAAAAAGCTATAGAGAATTTTACTGGGAAAATCTGAATATGGACTGTATGTTAGGTAATATTACACCAATGTTAAATTTCTTGGGTTTAATAATGGTATTATGTTAATGTAAGAGAATATCCTTGTTCTTGGACAACACATCATAAGATATTTAGTGGCTAAGAGTCATGATGTCTTAAACATATTCATAAATGGCTCAGAACAAAAGAAAAAAGCAGTTTGCATGTACTTATATGTGTGTGTACATACACGTGAGGGAAAAAGTAAATGTAGCAAAACGTTAACAACTGGTCAGTGTAGGTAAAGGGTATATGAGTATTCATGGTACTATTCTTTTGATGTTTCTGTAAATTTGAAAATTTAAAAACAGAAATTTGGAAATAAAATTTTAAAAAGTGAAACAAATACACTCACCAGAATGGCTAAAATTTGAAAAGATAGGCAATATCAAATGTTGGTAAGGCTATGGAGCAACTGGGAATCTCTTATATTGTTGGAAGGAATACAGAATGGTATAACTACTTTTGAAAAAATCTGGCAGATTTTTATGAAATCAAACATATACCTACCCTATGACTCAGCAATTTTGCCCTCAGGTATTTTACTGAAGAGAAATGGAAAAAAAAAAGTTCACAAAAAGACTTGTACAAAATGTCCATAGCATTATTCATAAGAGCTAAAAACAAGAAACAGACCAAGTATCCATCAACAGAAAAATGGATAAGGAAACTGCTATGTTCATATAAAGGAATACTATTCAACAATAAAAAGGTATAAACTAACATCACCAGCAATAAAACACACTGACATCATGGACCCCTTGATATGATGCTCTAAGAAGGACACAATATAATTTCTGTGGTAGTTTGGCCAAAAATGTATAACCATATTCCAATCATGAGGAAACATCAGACAAATTCAGACTGAGGTACATTCTATAAAATAACCCAGTACTTCTCAAAGTGTCAGATCATGAAAGACTAGGAAGGACTGAAAACTGTCACAGACTGAAGGAGACTAAGGAGAAATACCAACTAAATGTAATGTCAGATTCTGGATTGGATCCTTAACCAGGAAAAAAATATTAGTGAGAAAACTGGTGAAATCTGAATAAGGTTTGTAGTTGAATGGTATTATAAAAACATTAATTTCCTAGTTTTAATAACTGTATTATGGTTATGTAAGATGTTAATAGTGGTGGAAGCTGGATGAGGGATATATGGGAACTCTGTACTATTTTTGCAACTTTCTTGTGAGGCTAAAATTAGTTCAAAATAAAAAATGAAAAAGAAAAAAGAATGAACTACTGATATATGCAACAACATGGATGAACCTCAGAAACATTGTGTTGAATGAAAGGAGTCTTGCACAAAAGAGACTCCTACTGTATGATTCCATTTATATGAAATCCAAGACCAGGCAAAGTTAATTTATTGTAGAATAAATATAAATAGTAGTTGCCTCTGGGAGGGCAAGAACTGATCATGAAGGGGTATGAGAGAACTTTTTGGGGTGGGGGCAACGTTCTATACCTTGATAGAGGTTTGGATTACCTAAGTGTATGCATGTGTCAAACTTCAATGAATGCAAATTTAAAAGTTGTGCATTTAATTGTATGAAAATTTTGTGTTAAAAAACTATAAACAGGGCCGGCCCTGTGGCTTAGTGGTTAAGTGCGCGCGCTCCGCTACTGGCGGCCCGGGTTTGGATCCCGGGCGCGCACCGAGGCACTGCTGCTCTGGCCATGCTGAGGCCGCGTCCCACATACAGCAAGTAGAAGGATGTGCAACTATGACGTACAACTATCTACTGGGGCTTTGGGGGGAAAAAAAAAACTATAAACAAATATTGAACTCTAGTTCATGATATACATGCCAAAGTATTTAAGGGAAAGTATACTGATATCTGCAATTTACCATGAAATGCACCCAAAAAAATAAGATGGGTTAATGCAGGGGCCAGCAAAAGCTGCCTGTTTTTATAAATAACGTTTTATCGAAACACAGCTACACCCTTTCATTTATGTATTGTCTATGGCTGCTTTCCTGCTACAACAACAGAGTTGAGTAGTTGTGATAGCAGTATTTACTATCTGGTTCTTTACAAAAAAGTTTCCAACCCCTTTGCTGAGGGATGGGTAGCTGGCACATAATGCAGCAAGCATACTAAAATGTTAATGTTAGAATCAAAGCACTGGATAAATGCATATTCTGTATAATTCTTTCAACTTTTTTGTATGTTTGAATATTTTCATGGTAAACTGTTAAAAAATATAATTAAATCCGAAAATTCAGTTATCATTTTTCAACACTCAAATGGTATTCGCCAACACTAAGAAAACTCTGAATATTAGATTGACATAGCAACTTCCCTTAGAACATCTAATGGTATAAAATTTACAAGGGGTTTCATTCACAGCAGATAAAGAAACAAATCCCCTTTCCATTGATACAGACGGGTCTTCCAGGTAAAACAGCTGACACAGACCATTATTTCTCACAACCAGCCTTTCCTTGAGATCATAGTCCTTATTTTATTCAGCCTCAGACTAATAAAATTCTAATTAAAGTTCTGGCTATTGCTATAACCACAGAGCTTGCAAACAGACTGGTTTACAGACACCAGGGATGGTTAATTCCCTTGACCTATATACCACGAACTCATGTTTGATCAACCAGATTCTCAGGGAGGGCTGTGGGGATGTCTTCGGAAGACTTATTTGCAGGAGCTGGGTAGCAGGGGAATTCTAATCTCATCCTTCCTGTGTCTGCACATTCTGGGATTCCCCAGTAGGCCCAGTACCTCAGCCATTCATGGGGCTTCAGTGTATGGCCCTCAAAGTAGAGAAGAAAGAGGAAATCTAAAGATTTTCTGTCCTCAGGAGGTAGCCCCTACGCTCTATCCCCACTGAGGGAGGGAAAACAGGCCCAGGCATAGATCCTTGCTGGGGCCCTGCAGACACACAACACTCTGTGTGTACCCCATGCCTGAGGTCTTTGCTGAGAAGTAATCACAAGAGGTGCCCCATACCTAAGGTCTAAGAAGCAGTCACACACTTCCAATGCATTAACTGCTACCGGTAAAGAGAACTCCACACTGGCATCTTTGGAGAAATCACCCTGCAGCATAAATTCAGAGGCTCCAAACTAAGCCAGGGTCATGTAAACCCAAGCATTTCCTTTCAACGTGACCAAATCACATGGTCCTCAAATGGTACTATCTTGGAGGAATTACCAAAGCAGTTCAGAGAAATAATAAAAGTCATTATAGGTTACACTGGTCAACACAATGCAAATATTTGTAAGATGAATCTAAAGTTTTATGCCTCACATGAATGTGGCTAAGATGCTAAAAACTATTTAAATGACAAATAGGGAAAAAGCTAAAAGACAAAAATATTTTAAAAATCAATGTTACCTGATCAAGATTTTTGAAAAGGAGAATATCTTTGCAAGCTTCCTGAAGTCTGCATCTCTGTTGATCAGTTTTAGGATGAATCACCTGCCAAGCCAAACAAAACCAGATATTTTTATTCCATTTTAAAATCTTACTTTACTTACAAATTGGTGTATTTCTTTCTCCTAAAAAGTGGGAAAAATTAAAAGCATGTTCACTGTAATTTTAATTCTATACAAACACCAAGCAGTGCCCTGATTGTGGAAGGGCAATGTGATAGGGGGTGAGGAGCACCTACCCTGGAGCCACCTTACTGGCAGCAAGTCAGATACCCCTGGGAGCCTCAGAGTCCTCATCCATAAAGCAGAGGGTTATAGATTTGTTCATTCCACAAATATTAAGTATCTACTAGGTACTATGCACTGTCCTACCTCAGGGAATACAGCAGTGAACTCACAGACATAACACCTGCTCTAACATTCAATAAATACATAAAATATGTTAGAGAGTGACAACACTAAGGAAAAAAATAAGGTAGAGAAGGGTAATAAAAAGAGAGTGTGAGAGTGTGTGTGTGTATATGTGGCCAGATAAAGCCTCACTGAGAAGGTGACATTTGTGTAGAAATCTCAAGTAAGTGAGGACAACCTGAGGGAATGAGTCATATGGACATCTCCGTGGGAAGAGCATCTCAAGCAGAAGGAATAACAAGCTAAAACAAGCCTTATTGTAGGTGAATAGCATGTCTGAGAAATAACCATGAGACGGGTGTGACTGATGCAGAGCTAGGGGGAAAGATCAGAAGGAGACGAGGTTGGGGGGCTGGGTGGAGGTGATGCCCAAATCACAGAGGGCACTGTAGGTCACAGAACTAGAACTTTTCTCTAGTGACATGGGGGCAATTTGAGGGTTCTGACCGAGGAAGGAAAGAGATCTGTCTAATGTGTTTTTTCCTGTTTTTTTTTTTTTTTTTTTAATGTGAGGAAGATCAGCCCTGAGGTAACAGCCATGCCAATCCTCCTCTTTTTGCTGAGGAAGACCGGCCCTGAGCTAACATCTATTGCCAATCTTCCTCCTTTTTGTCCCTTTTTCTCCCCAAAGCCCCAGCAGATAGTTGTATGTCACAGTTGCACATCCTTCTAGTTGCTGTATGTGGGATGCCACCTCAGCATGGCTGGACAAGCGGTGCGCTGGTGCGCGCCTGGGATCCGAACCCAGGCCGCCAGCAGCGGAGCGCATGCACTTAACCGCTAAACCAGGGGGCCGGCCCCTGACTAATGTTTTTAAAGGCTCACACTGGCTGCTGAGTGCAGAATATCCTTGAGGGAAGCAAGAGTGGAAGCCAGGAAGCCATTGCAATTATCCCAGAGCCAGATGGTGGTGGTTAGGACCAGGATGGTAGCCATGGAGGTGCTGAGAGGTGGAATTTTGGACATGTTTTGAAGACCGACTCCATCGAATTTGCTGAAAAGTTGAATGTGGGTATGAAAAAACGAGAGGAGCTGAGGGTCACCCTAAAGTTTTGGACTTGAGCAACTAGAACGGTGAAGCTGCCATGAATTGAGCTTGGGAAGACTGGGGTGGAGAAGAATGTTCAAAGAGAAATAATCAGGAGCTCATGTTAAGTTTAAGTTGTCTATTGAAATCTAAGTGGAGATGGCAAGTAAACAATGGATATACAAGCTAAAGCTCAAACATCAACAACTTAGTAGCAATAGTAGTAGTGGTATCTACAAAATTAGAGTTGTTATAAGCATAATCATGAGTTAATACGTGCAGTGTTTAAAACAGTACCTGGCATTTAACAGCTGCTCAAAAACTATTAGGATTATTATAGATATTCAATAAATGTTTACTGAACTAAAAAGAAATAATTATTGCTTAGTATTGCTATTATAATTGAGAGACCTATCAAGCTCCTTCCTAAGTATTGTCTTCACCCTAAAAAAAGGGCACATCACTTAATCTGATCAGAACTAACAGGGCCGGCCCTGTGGCTTGGTGGTTAAGTGCGCGCGCTGCGATGCTGGTGGCCCGGGTTCGGATCCCGGGTGCGCATCGAGGCACCACTTCTCCGTTCATCCTGAGGCCGAGTCCCACATACAGCAACTAGAAGGATGTGCAGCTACGACATACAACTATCCACTGGGGCTTTGGGGGGAAAAAAAAAAAAAAAAAAAACTTTAAAAAAAAAAAAAAAAAAAGAAATAACAGATGTCAAAAGTGTTAAGTATTTTAAATTTGTGATGTTAAAAAGTTAGTAAGGGGCTGGCCCGGTGGCGCAAGCAGTTAAGTGTGCGCACTCCGCTGCCGTGGCCGGGGGTTCACCGGTTCGGATCCCGGGCACGCACCGACGCACCGCTTGGCAAGCCACGCTGTGGAGGCATCTCATATAAAGTAAAGGAAGATGGGCACAGATGTTAGCCCAGGGCCAGTCTTCCTCAGCAAAAAAAGAGGAGGATTGGCAGATGTTAGTACAGGGCTGATTTTCCTCACCAAAAAAAAAAAAAAAAGTTAGTAAAAAAGTGTTTTAACTTTTAAAAGTCATCGAGAATTTTATAACATCCAGAAAAAATTTTTTTTAAATCTACATGTCTATTATATTCATACAATGGTAGCATTTTATTATTAGAATATTTCAGAAACCTTTCATAGGCTACTCATTTTAAGGCATATTGAAAGATCATTCAGATTTCTTTTATAACATCAATCTTTTAAAAATAATGGTTCATACTTGCTTTTATAAAAGTAATTTGTTAATTGTACAGAGTTTAAAAACCGGAATTTTTAAAATAGCACCCAAGGGCTGGCCCCGTGGCTGAGCGGTTAAGTGCGCGCGCTCCACTGCTGGCGGCCCGGGTTTGGATCCCGGGCGCGCACCGACGCACCGTTTCTCTGGCCATGCTGAGGCCATGTCCCACATCCAGCAACTAGAAGGATGTGCAGCTGTGACATACAACTATCTACTGGGGCTTTGGGGGAAAAAAATAAAAAATAAAAATAAAATAGCACCCAAAAATCAACCATAGTCCTGCCAAAACCACTGTTAACATCTGGGCTATATCCTTCCAGATATAATTCTTTGTACAGACAGATAGACAGATTTTTAAAATTATGTTTTATTTTATAAAATGCACTATAAAATGTACCTCATAGAAACATCATTCCATGTCATTAAACCTGGTCCTGTACTATGATTTCCAATGGCTGCAGATTCTCTTCATTCAAATGTACCATAATTTAGCCCCAGTAATCACCAATTTGGGGTCATTTAGGTTGTTTCCATTTTTGCTATTACAACACTGCAATGATCTCCATTTGCACATTTTGTTAGAGATGAATTCTCCTTTAAGCAACTGCTGAGTCAGTTGGTTTGACTATGTTTAAGGCTCTGACAGCTACAACCAGGCACTCCTTCTTACCATAACCTCAACCAATGCTGCTTTCATTCTTCTTTTTTTTTTTTTTTAAGATTTTATTTATTTTATTTTTTCCCCCCAAAGCCCCAGTGGATAGTTGTATGTCGTAGCTGCACATCCTTCTAGTTGCTGTATGCGGGACTCGGCCTCAGGATGAACGGAGAAGTGGTGCCTCGATGCGCACCCGGGATCCGAACCCGGGCCACCAGCATCGCAGCGCGCGCACTTAACCACCAAGCCACAGGGCCGGCCCATCATTCTTCTTAATATTTGTCAATCTGTTAGATAAAAAATGGCATCTTGTTGAGATTTTAATTTGTATTTATTTTAATTATCAGCATGATTAGATTTGGTGTGTAGAGGAGGAAGGGAGTGAGTGGGGAATAAAACAATTCTACCTAACACCTCTGCTGCAGTTCTTACCCTTGGATCAGTATCTTCCTCTTCCTCATCAGGATTATAGGTCTCAGCACAGACTAAATTTGGAGAGAAAAAATAAAGAGAAAAATGAATAAAACAGATGTGTGCTTTTACTAGAAAAATAGGAAGTGAATACAATTTCCTTTTATTCCCTGTTTTCTAAAGTTGTGATGATTTTTTTTATCCCTTCTTTCAATTAACAAATATATTAAGTACTTACTAATGCCAGGCTTTCTGTTAGGTGCTGAAAAGCTAGCTCTCTAGGGATTCATGGTCCCAGATAGGAGAAAGATGATAAAACATATCATCTACTAAATCCTTTTGTAGTGGCGAGGACAAGCAAGGAGGTGCTGTCTCTGCTGAGTTATAAAGCAGGGGCGGAAAACCACAAAGCACAATGTATGCAATATAAACATATGGATACGCAGTAATTACGAAAAGAATCAATTAAAATAGCTCAACATCTTTATGTACATGAATGACTTAAAAATAAGACTGAATTTTAAACAAAACAAACACTTATGTTTCAGGCTCTGTTCTCCATATAATATTATATAAATCTAAAACCAACTTGATTTTCTTTGTAGGTAACCTGTGTTTGTGCCAGCTGCCTGAAGGACTTGTCTTTGTCGTAATTCAAAGATTTAAAAAATATTCACTGAACGATTGTTTATAACAGCAAAATATCAGAAATGACATAAGTATCCATTTGAATAACAGCTGTAACAAAGAATGAGGAAAGTCTCCAATCGAGAGTGAGTTCTGGGGGAAAAAAGCAAGGTGAAGAAGAGTATACACAGTATGCCACTCCTTCCATAAGAAAGGACTTCCATGAGAAAGAAGGAGAGCTAAGAATGGAGGGGAAAATAAATATATAAATATGAATATATATTAAAAATTTTTTTTACCTCTTTATTTTTCCAAAAGAAAACATGAGAAGGATAAATAAAAAAGTAATAAAATTGTTTCCTAGAAGGTAGGCAGAAACAAAAAAGAAAGGACCGGGAAGGGAATGAAACTTCTCTGAGGAAATTCTTTCATATAGTTTTGACATTTAAACCATGTTAATTTTTTATATATTTAAAAAAATAAATTGATAGGGATGGAGGGACCCTAAAACCGAATACAAAGAGAAAGAAATGAACCTAATCACATATCAGGCTGATAACATAACCACAGAGAAGGAAACAAGAGTTATTTTAAGTAGTTTCTGAACATAGTACTCTGACCATCTATCCTTAGTGGGATATATTCCAACAACAAAAAAAGAACTGCTGTTGGTAGTGGTAGAACAATTCCAAAACTCTTCTGTGTGTATTACAGTAGTAAGTAAATAAGTAAACACATAGGTCTTTTTTTACTGGAGAGAGGGGAGATACAAATATGAAATAAAAAGGTTAGAATTGGAGGGCCGGCTCCGTGGCTTAGCGGTTAAGTGCGCGCACTCTGATGCTGGCGGCCCGGGTTCGGATCCCGGGAGCGCCCCGAGGCACCACTTCTCCGTCCAACGCGAGGCCGAGTCCCACATACAGCAACTGGAAGGATGTGAACCTATGACATACAACTATCTACTGGGGTTTTGGGGGGAAAAAACTGAATAAATAAAATCTTTAAAAAAAAAAGGTTAGAATTGGAGATGTCAATACAAGTCATGATTTAAAAATCTTATCCTTAGGTGTTAGTGGCAAAGAGACAATGAATTATCCAGTGAATAAAAAAGTTAGTGTACTCACTAACAAAGCTGTTTTGCCAAGAATGATCTAGATGTGATCACTGGTGTTGCCCAGAATGCAGCAAACCTGTTTGTTCTTCACAATACAGGCCATTATAGCTGGGGAAATTTTTATTCTAATAAATCCTTAATTATCTGCAATAGCCGTATGACCTAGGGTGATTTACTGCAAATCGCCACCTTCTCTTCTGCATAACGGAGCAAAGAGTAGTGATCCCCCTCGGAGGACTGTCATAGGATTCAAAAAGACAAGTGCCTGGCATGCAGTAAGTATGCAGTAAATGCCAACTCTTGAACCATTACTATTATCACTTCTGTTCCATTTGTTCTGGTTTTCAGGAATATTAACTATTATTAACTTGGTTCTGTTCTCCATCTCAGCTCTTTCAACAACTGTCCTCTCTTAAAGGCTGCCCTCCATCACAGATTTTGCCCTTAACAATTTTGCTTTTTTTGCCTTCTCTATGTATTTAATTCCTGCTTATTGTGTTTAGTTTCCTTATAGTCTTTCCTTGTCGTCAGCATTAACGCTGGGAAAAGTAGAAGGCAGCAGGAAAAGGGGAAGACCAAATATGAGATGGAATGATTACATAAAGCAAGCCACAGGCATGAGTCTACAGAAGCTGAGTAGGGCTGTTGAGGACAGGACATTGTGGGCATCACTCATGTGTAAGGTCACCAGGAGTCAGAGCCAACTTGACTGCATATAACAACAAATAGTCTTTCTTCACCATACCCATTTCCCTTTTCATGTCAGCCTATTCTTTCCTTGGCTTTTTACTCAGAACTCATAAAGGCAATGATTTTCTGCACTTGATGAGCATTTTGTAGTGGATCTTTCTAATCTTCATTCCTCTTTTATCCTTAATCTGCCAAGTTCACTCATAGGCCCTGTATTGTCTGTTAGGGTTTGTTTCTTGTTTGTCAGCAGGCAAGAAATATAAATGGTTCTTGACCCTACACTCAATTCATTTGTGTGATGGCTAAAAAACCCTATATATCTACAACTAGGGGATAAGCTGATACACATCGCTTTCAATTTAATTCCTGGTTTCTTGCAGACATTTACCCACTACAGTCCCGGTCTAGCTGCATCCAAGTTTCCCCTTCCTCATTGATTCTCTGAACTAATGGAATACCTGAGAAATGGTGACTGCCAGCATGTCCTGTAGATAGGCCTCCCTTCCCTGCCCAGCCTATAGTACTCTACTTGTGTGGACCACATCTCCTGTGCTGTAATGCCATCAATACTCTGCCTGTCCAATAGGACCCACTATCCTTAAATAGACAGAAAAATTATGGAGAAGGGAATAAGATGACAGACACCATTCTAGTCCATAAAACAGCATCAGGTAATATTCTGCAGAGAGGGCTGCCCAGCCCCTGGCTGGTGAAGTCTTTGGGTAGCTAAACCAGGGAAGTGACAATGGGATGTAGATAACGACTATCTTTCTCCAAGCCATTCCTGTCTCCATAAGATGAAGTCAGGGTGCGTTTATCTCAGGTCCGTCCTAAGGATTAAGGTAGACTCCCTCCTGACTTCCTAGACATTATTGCTGCCACTTTTTGAATCTTCGTAGGTATTTTGGTAGCAGACTGAGGAAGCTCAAGCATTGAGGGAAGCTAACCAGATGTTTAAATTGCAACTCTGTGCTTGCTTGTTTCCTGCTTCTCTGTGCTCTTGATTCATGTTGTCATTATCAGCCCAGTTTTCTAAACTAGAAAATTCGGAATTCACCATGACTTTCCTTTCACCTCTTATCCAATGAATACATCAAGTCCTACTTCAGAAATATTCTCACATTTGACCTTCATTCAGTCTATTCCCAGGTCCAGGATTTCAAAATGGCTTCTTAGAAAAATGCATTTAAAAAGCCCTCACTTTGGAGGTAGATGGGTACATGGGTATTATTATACTAACTTTCTATATTTTTGCATATGCATGAAAATTTTCATTTAAAAAGTTTAAAATAATAAGCCTTCAGTGATGAGACTGACAAGATTTTACTGATAATGATACTTAGTCTTGGGCTAACCTATTTCCATGCTTGCTTTTCCTCTGATTTTGGAGGAAAGTACTTTAGCAATTTAGCTCATTTATATATTTTTAGACATTAATGTAACTGAGGCAGCAAATGTCATAGTCTTCAAGTCTTAAAGCACAGCACTATGATTTAAACAAAAGTAGTTATTTTCATTAAAATTATTTATTTATTTATTTATTTAATTTTGGTGAGGAAGATCAGCCCTGAGCTAACATCTGATGCAATCCTCCTCTTTTTTGCTGACGAAGACTGGTCCTGGGCTAACATTCGTGCCCATCTTTCTTTACTTTATATGGGACGCTACCACAGTATGGCTTGACAAGTGGTGCATCGGTGCGAGCCCAGGATCTGAACCTGCGAACCCCAGGCAGCCTAAGTGGAGCCCACGCACTTAACTGCTGTGCCACCGGACTGGCCCCTCATTAAAATTATTATATTTCTATTTGTAGAAAAAGATTATGTCTTTATTTTTCAAAACTGGTTTTGATTTTTTTCCTTTTTCTTTTGAACTCCAGACTCATGTCTCTTTGCCCTCTTCCTCTGTTTACACCCAACCTCTCTACTTCTTCCTGGTCCTGATCCCAAATTACTTGTTCTCATTTTCCATATAAAAATCCATTTTTGAGTGCTATGTGATTGTTGCCCCTTATAGCTCTAAACATTGGGGAGCTTATCTCAGTGCACAAGTTACCTGGGGGAGGCCCAGACTCTGTGTGATTCCCTACGTAGCCTCAAGAATTACATTGAGTGTCATGAGATGCTCAAGACCTATTGAAAATGAAGACCTAAAAGAACAGCACAGCCCCTTGTTTGAGGGAAGTGATTTTGCTGCAGTTCTCCAGCAGATGTCACTAGTCAGTAAAATGAAACTGTACAAAGTGACAACAGATTATCCAGCACAATTTCTTTTTCCAAACTTTAACTGGTGCTTCCTTCATCCAGAAATGTGAATCATTAAAATGTGCTTGTGAGAGGAAAGCCTTTTATTTCTACAAAGAAATGAGCACAGATTCTGGTCACGGGTCTGAGGTCCTGTGGCTATCCTGCAAGCCCCCATGAAGAATTGATACAGACTGGGTATATTTGTCAGCTTGGACTGCCATAACAAAATACCACAGACTGGGTGGCTTAAACAACAGAAATTTATTTCCTCACAGTTCTGGAGGCTAGAAGACCAAGATCAAGGTATTGGCAGGTTTTGCTTCTCCTGAGGCCTCTTTCCTTGGCTTGCAGACAGCTGCCTTCTCACTGTGTCCTCACATGGCCTTTTCTCTGTGTG